CGCCCCACAAGTGCCCACCAGGGTCCAGTTTGGCGATGGCCGGCGGGAGCGCCTCCCAGGTCGGGGCTGAGCTTCGGCGACCAGAGTCGAACGAGGTGCAGAAGCCCCCGCAGACCCCCACCGCCCACCCCCGGCCCCCAGAGGGCGTCTACCAGCGATGGGAGCCCAGACACACCACGGCTCTGGCCGGGTCCCCGAATTCTCCCTGGCTCCAACTGGGCACCCTGCCGGCCCTTCCAGGCGGGTCGTGCTCGCTGGAATCATGACCCATGAGGACCAGCTCAGGGCGGAGGTGTCAGGGGTCACGGGTCCTTCTGCACCCCGAGTCCCTGTGGAGGCCCAGTGAGGAGGGCGCAGAGAGGGTGCTCCTCGAGCTGCCCCATTCCTCCCTCCCCCTCCCCCGCCAATCCCACCACCAAGGTTCCTAGGCCTTTCTTTGTCCTGGGGATAGGTTACCCGCCCCCACCCCCGCTCCCCCCATCCAGTCTGGCGCAGAGAGTAGCAGTAAGGACCTCCTCCCAGCGCCCCCTCCCTGTTTCTGGCCGTGACCTCGAAGGGATTCCGGAGCAGCCCAGCTGGCCCCAGCCTCAGGGCAAGGAAGGCCTAGGGCCCAGATGGCAGATTGTGAGCCTGGTGGCCACGGTATTTTTATGGGCATGCCTGTTGCCCAGTGAAGCATTCAGGGTCTAGGCTCAGCCTCAGAGACCCCCCAAGCGGAGCAGGGCCCTCCGCCGGCCTGGATTCTTGCCCCCACCTGCCAGCCAAGGACGCTAGTGCACCCATTCTCTAGGGAAGCATCTAGGCTATTTGGGACTGAAGCCTGCATAAAGGTGGGAGGTTAGGGTGAGAAAGGAGGGCGCCCTTCAAGTTCAAGGGTCCGGCACCTTGGGGAGCCAGCAGGGACAGAGGGGGGCGTATTTTCCATGAAGCAGTCAGCTGTGGCTTCCTACCAGCAGCCCTGGCCTGATGGCGCGCTGAGCCGCCTCACTTGGCTGGCTTCCCTCCAGCGGCCTCTCCCCCTCCCCCTAAGTTCTGCAAAGCTCTTATCTAAGACGGGGTTTGATGCTGATCACTACAATGACATTGACAAGGGTGAAGAAGTTAAGACAGGAACAGAGCCGTCTCTTAGCCACCCCATTTATTATTAGCTATGACTGTTAAAATAAATCACATTTATTGAGCGTGGCCATGTGGTCGCCCAGCAACCCACTGGGCTCCCTCTGATCATTCACCCCACATAGGGAAACGTGTCCCAGGAGCACAGCGAGGAAGGGGCTCCGGCCAGAAGCTCCTTGTAGCCACACCTGGCCCAAAAGCCAGAGGAACAGTCACCCTACCAGGAGCCACAGCCTAGGTTTATCCATGAAATGAGGCTCAGAGGGGTCCAGTGACTAGGCCAAGACTCACCCAGCAGGTCAACAGCAGAACCAGGATTTGAACGCCAGTCAGCTTGACAGGGAAGCCCATTCTTTCACTTCTGAAGAGATGCTCAGGAACAAGAGAGGACTGACTGTGTGCCAGCAAATCCCAGGAGAAGCAGGCGGGACTGGTCTGTCTTCGCCCTCCATAAATGGCAAGTGCCCCTCTGAGCCTCTCAGGTTTTGTGAGTACTGCCATCTGGAGATGGTAGACCCGAGAGTCTGACCAGACAGCTCAGAGCATCTCGGAAGCTGTCCATTCTTCCAGGTCTTTGTGGCTTGGGTGCACCTCTGAGAAGCAGCACCTGAAACACATTTGATTTGGTTTCCTTTCATTTCCGCAGTCTAACAATCTTTGCCTTTGTTTAAATTGACCTTATTGGATGTATTTTTCATCCAGAAAATTTACCATTACTTGCCATGGGATCCACAACGTCACTTCTAGGTACATATCCCATCGAATGGAAAGGCAGCGCATAAACGGACATATGTACACCAGTGCTTACTGTGTTTTAGCCACCAGAGCTAAAAAGGTGTACCAGCCTCAGTGTCCACCAACAGGCTTATGGACAAACTCACTGTGCTCTGGTCTTCCAGCAGAACCGCACTCCGCTAGAAAGAGAAGTGAAACCCAGGTTCAAGCTTCAAATTGGGAGGAACCGCGAGAGCACTGTGCTAAGTGGAGGAAGTTGAGCCCAAGAGGACACGTATTGTATGATCTCACTTAGCTGAGACTTGCAAAGAATGAAGACCAAAGTTAAGGGCAGTGGGTGGGAGGAGAAGGGGAGACATGATGCTGATAGTGTACGAGCTTCTTTGAGGGCATTGGGAAATTCTGCCAAGGAATGAGGGTGATGGTTGAAAACAAAGATGCCCGGAGGGCAAGGGGAAGGTGAAGGGAGCAAGGGGGAAGCGATCAAAAGGATCGACATATACCCCCCTCCCAGGGGCATGAACAACGGGAAAGTGGGTGAAGGGCAACAGAGGGCGATGTAAGATATGCAAATAATAATCTATAACTTATCAAGGGTTCCTGAGGGTGGGGGAGCAGGGAGGGAGGGGGAAAATGAGGAGCTGATACCAAGGGCTCAAGTAGGAAGCAAATGTTTTGAGAACGATGATGGCAACATAGGTACACATGTGCTTGAGACAATGGATGAATGTATGGATTGTGATGAGAGCTGTAAGAGCCCCCAATAAAAAGTATTTAATAAAAAAAGAAAGTGAAAAATCCAGCATTAAAAAAGAACGAAAATTAAGATGCCACTGAACTGTGAAAATGACAGCAGGTTTGTTAGCTCTTCTGATGACCATGTTCGCAATCAGGAGCACGATCTTTCGATTTGACACTTCCATGAGCTTTGCTAAATGTCGTATAACCACACCACATTGAAAACCAAACATTTCCATCAAAATACCCTGGTGCCACTCCTTCCTCCAGGCCCCGGCCCCCAGCTCACCATAGGCCTACCCTCTGTCACCACCATTTTGCACCTTGCTTGGCAAGTGGAATTGTACAGCATTGGCACCTTCCTATCCTTCAGTCAACGTGGCTTTTGAAATGTAGCCACATTGTGCTTAGCAGTTTGTTCATTTTTATTGCTGAGTATTCTTCCATTGTTTGGAGATATTATAGCTTGACGGGTCACTCAGCCATTAGCAGACATCTGGGTTGTTTCCACCTCTGGGCATTTAGAAACGGAGCTACGAGAAACATCCTTGCCCAGGCTGCTGTGTAAGCAGTTTCCTGGGCTGACTACCTGGGAGTGGGGTGTTAACTGTACGGAAACTTTGTGCTTCATCTTCTTTATTTTTTTAACTGTAAGATGTTGCTGATTGTATTTATAGTGCTGGTTGTTATAGCTGGACTTATTCTGTGTCATTGGCCTGATTTTCCACTTTATTTCCCCCAGTCCCACTTTATATGGGTGAAGCTTCAGGGCTGGAAGCGGAAATCACTCCAGCAATTTGAAACAGAGAGAGATTTTGTACAGGAGATTGGATGTTTACAAAACCACTGGGTGGGCTCTAGTCTGAGTCCCCAGAGAGCCAGGCTCCAGGGGAGCTGCTCCCCTTGTTTACCACCAAGGGGGTGGGGGACCAGGAGGCCACCAGGAAGACATCACCATGGCCATGACACAGCACTCAGCAAACTGAGGCCAATGAACCATCATTGCCACTGGTGCCCCTGCATGGCCAAGAAGCATCGCTGTGAAGTCCCACACCTCCAGGCTCTCACCCCACCCCCACCCCCACAGGACAGCTCTGTGCAGCAGGAACACGGCCTCCCTCCCAAAGCTCTGGTGAGTGCCTCTCGGTGGGGGAAAGGTCATTTGTTTCACACCCAGCTGCATGGAAGCCTGGGCAACATCCAGCATCTGCAGGGACTACGAGGATGTGGGCTGGGTGCTGAGGATGGTTGGGAGCCAGGACACACCCTCTGTTCTTGGACATCTTTTGGATGGAGTGACTTGGTTTCTCATATTTTCCTTGGATTTGTTTAGAAGCACAATATGAATTTTTTAGTAGTTATTCTTAGCTACTTTACCATGCATCCTTAACAAAGTTTAATCAATATCTCTGTTCTGGTGATTTTAATATATGTCTACATCATTCTTTGCTGCTTCTCCCTTCAGATCACCAACGAACAAACAAAAAAACAAACCCACTGCCACTGAGTCGATGCCAACTCTTAGCGACCCTCTAGCACAAGGTAGCACGGCCCCTGTAGGTTTCCAAGCTTGTCACTTGACAGGAATAGAAAGC